AAAAAAGCCGGCCATGTGTGAGTCGGACTCGCGCATGAAGGGTTCCGTACCATCGTAAAACACGTTTCTAGTAGCGGAGCACCCTCTAAGTTTTAATTTATTTTCATTATTTGCTGTTATAGCGGCAACGGAAATACACATTCTGTAAATATTTCAACTGTCTACCTATTACTGATCATGAGATACAAACCGCTGACAGACAGACCGACGGACAGCGGAAGCTTAGTAGTAAGGTCCCGTTGTTTACCCTTTGGGTACGGAACCCGGAATGAGTACACAGTCTGCCCAGTGGTAAGGGGATGATGTGATCTACAAATACCTATCTATTCTCGATTAAGAATCAAAATGTAGATGCGTTATAACCCGTTAGGATTAAGATGCCTCGTTAACAGCGAAAAGTGTCTCCGGTTTTCGTCACCCACCATACGAAACACACAATAGCACAGAACGTCACAATTATGCGGTTATATCACGCTGGTATTCTATGCGAGCGTTGTTCTTCCCCAGTCGATCCGAACTATTTATTGTACAGCCTAAAACGAAACACATTGAATCATCTTGCTATCTATCTGTTGTCTATCTCAACAAACAACAGAAAGAAAGCAAGTCCTAGGGGATTAGACTTCGGCATAGTTATAAAATGTGGTTATCTAAATACAAATTTTACGTGGTAGAGCCATGCTGCAGCTATATTAGTAGTATAGTTGTAGCACGAATGGTCGGCTCGACCGGGGAAGGACCACGCTCTCACAGAATACCAGCGTCAAATAGCAGCTTCGTGCTGCTGTGTTTCGTATGGTGAGTGTAGAGAACCGGAGACCCTTTTTACTGGAAAAGAGGCATTCCATCTTAGTCCTCACGGGTGACAACGCAACTGCATTTTGATTCGCAAACGAGGATAGATGTAGATGTCTATGGGCCACAGCAACCACTTACCATCAGGTGGACTGTGTGCTCGTTTGTCACCCTATCCTATAAAAAAATAAAAAACAATCGGATGGTAATAAATTCTAATTTTCAATCCCCGAAGCAAAAAGTGTATGTGTGTGGCGCCGTATCTCTTAGACGGGTGAACAGATTTGAGCGCGGTTTTTGTTTTGTTTCGAAGGTGACTTCATTGACAGTGTTGTTAGCTATGATTCAAGAAAATCTTTTCAGCCGTTTGAAGATCATCAGCTCTTTTATGTCCGGGGTTTTTGAAATTTTAAATTTAATTATTTATATCTATTTATTGAAGTAAAAGGTTTATTGGTCAATAAGACTTATGTAAATGAAACGAATAGTATTGTTATATAACATTAGTAGAATTTAGTTTATTTTTATTGTTAAATTATTCGGTAGATGCGAATAAAATATCACTAAACAGTGTACACAGGATCGCTTGTAGGTCTGTCTGTGTGTTCGTTTGAAACTTTAAAACTACGTGGTGATTTGTGATGCGGTTTTCATCGTCATTTAAAGAATTCATTGTGGAATATTCTTGTGTTCAAAACGTACATATTTTGTGTAGTTATAGTACACAAATGTAGGTGTTTTAAGTCGTTAACTTTACCCACTCTTCTGAATCGCATCCAACGAAGCCGTGCCGAGTCGCTAGTTCGCAAGTTTCAAATATTACAGAGATTGTAACACTTAATAGCGGTGCAAAGCGGTACACCATTTAAACTAACTGTTCTCTCCGTATTAGCAAATATGTTGTACTGTACACGCTTGGAGTTTCACGTCGGCACGGCGTCAGCGCGGCGGAAGTCCAATTTTATAAAGAAAATTATAGTTTACGTGTTAAGATTTTCAACTATATAAGTTAATGCGATGTTACTTAGCAATTTTGGCTTGATTTTAATAAATTATTCTATGTTATTGAGTTTTTAATAAATGTAAATATCTAGAGTTTTATAACTATGTATCATAGTATGAACAATAGGTTATTACAGTTTCACATTACATTATAAATGAACAAAATAAATTCTATACGTGGTAGAGCCATGCTGCAGCTATATAGTAGTATAGTTGTACCACGAATGGGTGGGTTCGACCGGGGAAGGACCAAGCTCTCACAGGATACCAGCGTCAAATAGCAGCTTAACACTGCTGTGTTTCGTATGGTGTGTAGAGACCGGAAGACCCTTTTTACTGGAAATGAGGCATTCAATCTTAGCCCTCACGGGTGACAACGCATCTGCATTTCATTTCGTAATCGAGGATAGATGTAGATGTCTATGGGCTACAGCAACCGTTTACCATCAGGTGGACTGTGTGCTCGTTTGTCAGCCCTATACTATAAAAAACATATAATTACCACAATATAAACAACTTTTTATAGTAGTAATAACTATTTGATGGTAAGAGATACTGTAGTCCATAGACACCTACATCTTTCGTCGATCATGAATCAAAATGCTGATGCGTTGTCACCCAAAGGACTAAGATGGAATGCCTTGTTACCAGTAAAAAAGGTCTCTAGTTCTCTAAGCCTCAATGCTTACCATACGAAACACTTTTTTATGCTATTTTTTCACATTGGTATACAGAGCGAGCGCCATTCTTCCCTGACGAAGAGTATATAGAGTATATAAAATATGTTTGTATACTCTACGGTTGATTATATAAAATATGATTTAGATAGAAATTAATGAACTTAGCGTCAGGTGTGAATATTTCCTTATATGCCTACGCTTAAAAAAAGGCAAATAATGTCCATAATACACCTAACATGACCTTATAACTGTTGATTCAGCAAAGTGTGTTGTTCTTATTTTGTAACTTATTCTTTTAAATCAACATGCGATGTGCCAACGTCACGAAAAGATTGACGAATAAATATATGTAAATGCAATCAAAGTTTTATCGAAAGTAATCTAACATTAATTGTGCCGAGTCTGGGTGTTTGTCTTGTCATATGCAATTTATTGATGTAAAACGCCTCCACAATACAACAATTAATTTCTTCTCAAATAGATTCTTCTTTCTTTTCTTAAAAGAAAAAGAAAAATTTATCCTTTATCAATTGTTCTTACTCTGTCTATTCATCCATGTTCTATTTATGCATGTAAAACGCCTCCACGTTACAGAAAGAATTAAACATCAAAATGCAGATGCATTGTCACCCGTGAGGATTATTATGAAATGCCTCGTTTTCAGTAAAGATGTCTCCTGTTCTCTACACTCACCACACGCTGGTATTCTGTGAGAGTGTGGTTCTTCCCCGGATGAGCCAATCCATTCGTGCTACAACAATACTAGTAATGTAGCTGCGGAATGGCTCTACCACGCATAAAAACTACACTACTACTACTACTCTACTACGTACTCATCTGATTATTTCTGCGTTCCTAGTGTAGCGTCTAAATCTACCATCGAAGTTGCATAAATTTGACCTCCGAAACGGGGTGGTTGGAACGAATTAGTATCCTTTGTATTCACAAAAACAGACGCACTATGTTTCCCGCGTAGCTAACAGTTTACATCATGACGAATGTGGCATAATACAGCTCTTGCAAAAATGCATAGTGTTTATAAGAAAGACCACAATTAAGAAACATGCTTCACATTTTAAATAACAAAGTACTTCACAAAATTCTGTCGAAATATCTATAATGACATTGTTCCAAAATAAGACCCAAATTACGAAGAATGATAAATTTAAAGTATGGCCGATGAGGCCTTATAATAGATGATACACCTTTAGTTTTCTTCTTTCTACAATACATTATAAGATGTGTGTTTTAATCTAAGATATAAAAATTAATATTTATTTGTTTGTATTTTATACTCTGCCATATAGTTTGCGTTAAAACTTTGTCAACTTATTGCTTGCACTTACTCGAAGGTTACAGGCATAATACAATTAACTTACGTAGGTGGCGCGCGTATCATACCGACAAATTTATTTTCTACTTCAATGAATGTATTACACTGACCTCTATATGTACATTATCATTCCTAATTAAACAATATAACTCTTCCAAATTTAAAACGATTTACCCACAATTATTTCTTCTGCGATTTTAACGCGTCGGGTACCAGCAAGTATATAATAAAAACTTAACCAATTATAAATGTTTATAATCATAGTTTTTAGTTGGTAGTTTTGTGCTGAGCCGTTTAGGCCTTTTGTATTTGATAGTATTACTACACTAAAAGACTGATGTTGACTTATTTATAAGTTAAGATAAGTTTCAACACAGGAAGAAAATGTGATTCGACCACTAAATATGCCGAACAAATTCCTCCTTTTTGTAATATTCTTGATCCAGTTAGACACATCACATTCTATTGGTTTAAAAAGTAATAATCGAATTTTGGCGTGTGGTGCCGTAGGTGAATCTACTACCTACTTACTACCACATTATCATCCAATGAGTGTCGGAAGATACGACAGAGGGAAAATAAAACAGGAGTTGGCCAGCGGCATCTTCTTGGTAACAATCTAAAAACAATAAAAACTGCAATACCACCTGCCAGGCGTGTCAACCATGGCTAATCTCCCCCTATGAGGCAATCTATAGGGGAGTTCTATGTTCAGCAGTGGACTTTGATAGGCAGTAACGGTGATTATAATGATGAAGAAGTAAGTTGTTATTTCTTTCTTTATTTCTTTGGTAGGACTCGTATGGTTGTACTTTGCCAGTGTCAAGTAATAAGAAGTTATCGTTTATCAAAATTTGTTAAAAAAAATAATCTTTACAGTATGTCGTTGCGTCACAATGCGACGTTTTTGAGAGTTTTTGACGGCAGGTTGAGCTAGTAGAAAGACAATGACGATAGTCTCAAGGCGCCTACGCAGACACAATAACTTGAAGTTTACGTCACAATCGCATCTTGTTTTATGGTTTCTACAACTAGTTTAGATGCGCAGACATAATCGCACCACTCTTACGTATCGGTAACCTCTTCAGGCCATTATTAAAGCAACAACACAGGTGCAGCAAACCATCGGCAATTTCCCGCCAAAAGTCTCGGTATAAAACGTTAATTTTATGTTTGTTCTCTTCCAGGCAATGCGAGGCTGGTGCGCTCGGTGGAGCGGCGGCGGACGCGCCCGCCTTCGCTGGCTCGCCGCGTTGCTCTGCTGGGCCGCACTGGCTGCTGTAGCCTTGCCGCGGCTGCAGGTGTCGCCCGCACCACGTCCGGCGCCTCCGGCTCCTCCGGCACGACTGCTGCTCCAGTCAGAAGCAGCCGCCTCTACTCCCGCGATAGTCACGCAACCGCTCCCCGCCACGGACACGCGCGTGCTTACCGAAGATGAACTACGAGCCGACGCGGAACGTCGCCTCCCTTCTCTACCCCTCGCCTACTGGCACCGCCACAAGGACGACAAGAACAAATTTTACAAGAAGAAAGACTGCGCCCCATTCCCTTCGATATACGACTTAGAATTCCACAACACGTATTGGCAGACCCTTAGAGCCAGCGAAGGCGTGTTCCACTTTTACGGGGCGTACATGGACGCGCGGAACACGTCCCGCATAGGACCGGCGGTGAGGGTACTTGCTGTTCACGACAGAATCAAACCCGCGCTCGCCACTCACTGCCAGCTCTGGTTTGAGGAACGCGAGGCGCCTGTAGTTGTTCGCAATTTAGAGTATAAATACGTGTGGAACAGCAAATGGGGCAACTATAGAGATCACGTGCTGCAGCCCTACCTATTAGCCTGCGTACTGCCGGCCGAAGTACGTCATCTGATCCCTGCTTCAGTATCAATAGTGGAAAACCCATGCGACCGCGCCACGAACAACCTGCGCGTGCATTACGACCGACCTTCACCGCCCGCACCGCGCAAGGAATTCGCTGTCTGCGTCAAGGGGCTCGACTTTCTTCACGAGGACTTATCTGTTCGCCTCGTCGAGTGGATAGAAATAGTGCGTATACTTGGCGCCGACAAGATTTTCTTCTACGAATTGCAAGTGCACCCGAACATAACGAAAGTGTTAGACTATTATAAAGGGCTCGGTTTGATCGAGGTGACCCCGATCACGCTGCCCGGCGGCCAGCCGAACCTACCTGGCCTGCAGCATATGTATTTGAAGAAAAAGACAACACACAAACGCCAGATGGAGCTGATACCGTACAACGACTGTTTGTACCGGCACATGTATGAGTATCGTTGGCTGGCGTTACTTGATATAGATGAGGTGATAGTTCCATTGGAAGACGACGATTGGAGCGGGCTGATGAAACGCATACTGCCCCTGTCGGTACCCGCTGCGGGGAAACCGGCGCGCTCGTCGTACCACGCGTCCAACTTATACTTTTTGGACTCATTGCGTCACGAGCACGGCTGGGAGGAGGGCGTGCCCCGTTACATGCACATGTTGCAGCACGTTTACCGAACGCGCAACTTCACGAAGCCGGGACAGTACGTGAAAGCGTTCCACGAGACGGACCGTGTGTTAGCGCTACACAATCATTTCCCGCTGGCGTGCTTGGGCGGTGCGTGCTCGTCGTACGCGTTGGAGACGCGTCACGCTCGCTTGCAGCACTATCGCGCTGACTGCGTGACAGCGCTGAGCAAAACATGCGCCGACCTCAGAGCGCAGCCCGTGCGGGACACTACACTGTGGCGCTGGCGGGGTCCACTTCTAGAACGTGCTGAAAGAGTACTACGCGATCTGTCGTTCTTGCCGCCGCACCGGTGACACGTATCCAGCTCAAATCGCCTCCTACGCTTAGTCTATAACTATTCAACGCTAGTATTAAACGTATTTTTATAGTTAACAAGTGTTTCCTTATTTCTCATAGCCGATACTCGAAATATTACTTAATTAAAAACCATGAAATCTCATTTGTAATCGTGTAATAGATTCAGTTTTATAACATCAATTAATTCTCTCGAGTAGAAACTAATTCATTGTTAGTTCCCGTACTGTTCTTTTGCTAAATAAGCCCGTAATAGTCCACTGGTGGGCATTGACCTCTCCTGTTAAATGAATGATTTGTTCTTCTTACAGACCACCACGTAAATAGGTATATGAAATGGACTTTACTCGCAAAGTGTTATATAAATTAAAATCGAGAGAAGCAGATAAGAATCATGTATCACATATCATACCCACAAAAGTCCAAATAAACTAATAGGTCACATTTCTAGATTTCCCCTATATTACATACCTACTAGAGGGCAAGGAGACGAGGTGATAGAAGAAAACAAACCAGGAGATGGGCACTAGCATCTTTCTAATCACAACTGAAAAATAAAAATCCGCGGTTACCAACCCACCTGTCAAGCGTGGCAAATATGACACGCCATCATCATCATCATCATCATCATCATCATTACAGCCCTTCACAAGTCCACTGCTGAACATAAGCTATATGACACGTATATTTTATTTATTATTACAGCTTATGAAAATAGTGTTTTGTAATTATATGTAGATGTCCTTCTTTTGCAAATTACAAAAAAAATCTATTCCGCAATGTCAAAGTCGAAATAAATATTTTCATTCAAAATTGGCCTTTCCCCGCACAAGCACTTTTTGTTAGTCAAAAACAAATAAGCCATAAATAACAGTACTGATATTATGTACGTCCAAGACCTAACAACCTACAAGTAGTAGCTTGCGACCCGTATCTTTGCTTCGATTAGTAGTGACTTCATATATAAGCTATCCGTAAAAATGCTTTATGTGACCAATAATTAATTCCATATTCACAAACGTGGTAGAGCCATGCTGCAGCAATATTAATAGTATAGTTGTAGCACGAATGGGTTGGCTCGACCGGGGAAGGACCACGCTTTCACAGAATACCAGCGTAAAATAGCAGCTTAATTCCGCTGTGTTTCGTATGGTGAGTGTAGAGAACCGGAGACCCATTTTACTGGAAAAGAGGCATTCTATCTTAGTCCTAACGACTGACAACGCATCTGCATTTTAATTCGCAAACGAAGATAGATGTAGATGTCTGTAGGCCACAGTAACCACTTATCATCAGGTGGATTGTGTGCTCATTTGTCACCCTTATTCTATAAAAAAAACTACCCTTTAAGAGGCTGCGAGTGGACCACTCGTAAGTCGACATTTGCTCCGTTATTATGTGTGAATCACAAGGTGTTCGCTGTTCGTGGGTGGATCGACCAATAGCGCCGGCTGCGAATAGTCTACTTCTAAGCATTCTGGTTACTCGCACCCAGACGTGAAGCATAATATATATAAAGGAACTAGTAAAATATTAAAACAAATATACAGGGTTATTTTGCAATAACATACTGTGCAGTTTTGTTTTAAATATGTTGGTACTGCAAAATGGTCCTTATTTATTTATTAAATTGAAGTGACGAACGAACTTACAACCCACCTAGTTTAAATTAAGAACCAACTTTAAATTAAGAAGGCTACAGATGTGTTGTCACCTCTGAGGACTAAGATCGAATGCCACACACACACACACATTGTCTACTACTACTAATATGTAGTAATTATTCTTACTTACTGTATCCATCGGACCGAAACAGCGGTGCAAGCACAGCTGCACGCACCGTTATTGGTAAGAAGGCGGTTTCTTCCCAGACCGACGCCCAGGCGGAAAGAAGTTCTACTACATTGTAAAATTATAAATATGTAAAATTTTAATTCAGAATATTAAAATGTCTAAATTAAATAACCGTCTTAAAGCCACACATTTAAAGACATGCAATACTAGTCCGCTCGTCAACAGTTTTTTTTCTTTCAATAGAATAAGGGTGACTAACGAGCATGCAGTCCACCTGATGTTAAGTGGTCGCTGTGGTCCATAGACATCTACATCTATCTTCGTTTGCGAATTAAAATGCAGATGCGTTGTCAGTCGTAAGGACTGAGATAGAATGCCTCTTTTCCAGTAAAAAGGGTCTCCGGTTCTCTACACTCACGAAACACAGCAGCATTAAGCTGCTATTTTACGCTAGTATTCTGTGAGAGTGTGGTCCTTCCCCGGTCGAGTCGACCCATTCGTGCTACAACTATACTATTAATATAGCTGCAGCATGGCTCTACCACGTAAAGGTTTAAGTATGGATGACCACTGCGTGATGTCACTCCAAAGATCTCCGTTGTCTTCCTCTAATTTCAATCAGTCCGCTCCCATCTACATCTAGTGGATGTAGAACGGTGACACTGTGATCGCATGCCGGGTTAACAAAATGTACGACGAGCGACGACCTTTATAAAATTAAAAATTACAGATTTATCTTCACTTATTACGTCGTATTTTTTATGGAAGAGGAAGTAAACGGTCAAACATCTCCCTGGCAGTAACTGATCACCGTCACTCATGAACATCTGCAGCACCAGACGAATTACAGGAGCGTTACTTTTAGAAAGAAGTAGGCTCTTTTCTTTAAGGTCCCTAAGTCGTGTCGGTCCGAAAAACCCTCCGGTGACAGTAAATTCCATAGTGATTTATTTCACAAATGTTACAAATATTTTGTGTTTACTGTACACACACTTGAAATAAACACAAAATATTAGTTTAAATGGTATTTGCTAACGAAGAAAGTGTATGTAATTAGAGTGCTGGTGTTAATAAGAATTAAGTGGCAAAAACGGCATGCTTCGTTGGCTCAGGCATGTGGAGAAAATTTCCGGAATAATTAATTAGTAAATAATGTAGCAAATATGACAAGGTTAAATTTTACAGTTATTATCATGACCAGAAAACATTATTGCTCTCTACCAAGAGAAGATTGCTATCTCCATACAAAAACAGAATCAGCAACAAAACTACAGGCGCCCACTGTGGCGCTATTAACTGCATATTTTAAAGGTTTTGTTTATTATCTATTTTAGGACCAATTTTTCAATATTCAGAAAAAATTATAAGTTATCCATCGAATAAATTATAACCTGATTGAAAATAAAAGTAAAACAATTGAACTATTTCATTCATAAAACGGTAATGTTTAATTTGTTCATGTTATTTTATCCAATGAATAACTTTTATGTGAGGATTGAAAAATCCTAGTACCTAGTTGTTTTTTGACAAACTGTACGTTATGTTTATAATATTGACTACATTCAGATCAAAAGAAAAATATATCACCCGTTATACCGTTACTATTAAAATCTATCAAGAGACCACTGCTGAAAATAGGCCTTTGCCATGGATTGCCTCATAAGGAGGATATTTGATATAGTAGTCACGCCGGGCAAGAGGGTTGACAACCGCAATCGAATTTTCGTTGTTATTATGAAGACTGCTGTCTATCTCCCGGTTTGTTACCGTTTGTGAATACTAAATTCAGCCAAAGTACTTGATCTGAAACAGTTAATATCGCCCCCTTGCAGCAATCTGTCGAGGCGGCCTATGTTCAGCAATGGACTTTAAAGGCTTACAAAAAAAAAGCAATTTCGATCTTTTTAACTTTGCATAAACACTTTTTCTCCGCGTACTTTACTTACTGACCGTACTCGATTTTTTGACTCTAACGCTCACTAAAATAATGTGCATGTGCATCTACAATCACAATTAAAAAAAAAGTTAATAATGTGCAAAAAAATTAAAGAGGTACGCTCTTTAATTTTTGACTGACGCATTGTTTTGTGTATTAATATAATACGAGTAGAAACTGATACATTGTGTAATAAAAAACTTTACCTCAGTGTCAACTAGCGACATCTGGTGAGCAGAAAATTATTAGCCTTCATTACGATCAAATCAATTCCAATCCTTCCTACGATGGAAGAGGCCTTGTCAAGCTGTGGAACGACCTGCTGACAGAGAAGCTGAGGAGAGAGAAGCAGAGAGCTGACGAAGAAGAAAAACAAGAATATTATTTGTCACCAGTTCGCGTATATGTATATCAATATAAAAAGTTTTACTTTCGCTACCCTCTCTTTTAAATCAATAATAATACGTGTATAGCTACATTACATAGACCTGAAAAGTCGTGAGCCCTGAGTTCGATAAAACTGCATTATAGAAAATAGAGTGCATAACTATAATTGCCTTTCCATTTTTGCAAAACCAACATGTGTTTCACACAGTTGCACTACATCAGCGCGTTAAGTTCCGTTGTAGGGAAGGTTTCTTTTTGTTGTACACGTGGTGTAACCATGCTGCAGCTATATTAGTAGTATAGTTGTAACACGACTCGACCGGGGAAGGACCACCCTCTCACAGAATACTAGCGTAAAATACACTGCTGTGTTACGTTTGGTGAGTGTAGAGAACCGGAGAACCTTTTTACTAGAAAAGAGGCATTCCGTCTTAAGTCCTTACGGATGACAATGCATCTGCATTTTGATTCTTTATTGAGGATAGATGTAAATGTCTATGGGTCACAGCAACCACTTACCCTCGGGTGGATTGTGTGCTCGTTTGTCAAATTATCCTATAAAAAATAGGGGAGAATTTTCCTTAATCGTCATGCTGGCTGGTGGATTGACATGCGGTTCTTTAGACAACGATGTCCAGTCAGGGTTCTTGCTAGAATACGCAGTTAGTTCTTACTTAATCCCAGGGCTTCTGAGACAAAGCCAATTTACGATCATAAGCCCGCATTAAGGTTTTAGAACGTTTTAAGCCTGGTGTATCAGACCAGATCTTAAGTAATTTATTGTGATAAAGAGTGTCAAGCTTCAACCATTACGACAGATGTCTCGCACCTTTGACGCTACCGCCCGTCGTTGCCGGTCTGGGTATTTTACATCTGAATTAA